AGTGCCTTCACAAATCTGAGGGAAGAAGAGGGGAAACTGACTCTAAGGGAATGGTGAGCAGCACTCGGGCATCACACCACTGTCTTCACTGAGTTCCTAGTCACACCCAAACCATCACTCGGACAGTGCTGCCCAAGAGTAATTCCCTTCTCAACTCCATTTCCCTTCCCTCCCAGTCTAGCTCTTCTGAGCTCTCTTTTCTCAAAAGAGTTATACCTCTGACTGCAGCTGAGCTGAGCTTCAGAGCCCAAAAACCCAGGCTGTACTTTGACTCAGAGCTGGCAGTTGTGTTTATAATTTCATCTTCCTGTTCCCCAATTGTGGCAACAGAATCTTGCAGCCAACAGATGGAAAACACCTGATTATAGCAAAGCATACAAACCTGGTTAACTAACAAGTGTTGTAAGACCCTGTTAATCACAGCTCAGTGTCTTGTGATGAACCAATCTTTCTTGATAAAACAGCTGCTAGTATCAGTGCAAAATGATGAGCAATTAGAGCAGAATGTCTTCGGGCTAAGAGTTTGCAATGTGAGTGTTACACAAACTAATATATTTTGAAGTCTCAGATGTGACTAATAGCAATATCTAATGAAAATCATATAGCTCTTAGACATAGTTGTAGTTATATTAGGTTTTCAAATACTGATCAAATTGTGCTCCAAGTTAAGGAGGAAGACATAAGATTTAGGAAGCAGAAGCAACCCAAATTAAGGCAATGTGGATATTTCAAAGGAAAGTATCTCTTTTCTCCATCTGCTGTTACTGAAGTTTCAAAGATGTTAAGACAAGCAATGCCCAAGGCACAAAGCAATACACAAGCTGGACATGAACAAACCAGATTAAAGCATCACTAAATTAGCAATAACATAAACCCAAAGCCATCTGAAGTTCTACTTACTTGAAGGGAAGTGGCTCATCTGGTGATGTTTTTCTCATCTGGTTTTGCGGGTAGAGGCTGAAGCAGTGATTTGGTGTTAAAATAAACCTAATGTTAGGGTTCTGCATATCAGGATAAAAGTGCTGCAGCCACATGCTATAAAACACTAGTCTGATACAAATCTACTCGTCGATTCAAATACATTTGAACAGTTTTGCCAGGTGAACTTCATGCTAGAATGCTTCATGTGGGATCAGGTGTCTGATTATGTTATATCTGTTGTCCTGCAACTAATGTAAAAGCAGCACAAACCTTGTATCAGTCAATTAATTCAAATCTGTACCATATACTAATTTCTGACCCAGATTAATTTTGTACCGGTGACGTTCTGATAGAGTGGGTGCCGGCTGCTAACGTCTAGGGCCAGATTTCACAGGCATCACTTTGCACTTGCCACAGTGGTGGGCACGACAAACATGGAGATAATACTGCCCCGCCATTTGGCAGGCTCACCAACACCTTCTTGCCGTGCTGCTTTTTTTTTCATGCCATCTTCTTGTCTGTTCCAAACATAACATATACAATAAGGGAAGGTGAGGTTTTGGGGTTGGTTTTGGTTTGTCTGTTTGTTTTTCAGGTTTGTGTAGAATTATAGTCCTTGACTTTGAATGATTACAGAGGGGGCCAGTTTCAATGTTAGCACAGCTTCCTTTAGCTAAGCAAGAGATGGGCATCTTCAAACCTTTCTTTATGCAAGCAGTCTCCTTCGTCCAGCTCAGTGAAACAGTAAGAATATAAAAACCCAAAATAAGTACTCTGCCTGTATGTGCTGACGAATGTATAACTCATGCCCCAGTGCAATATAAACTCATGTAAAGACGTAGCATGCAGAAGCCCGAGAGTGACTAAGGCTTGAGGTGGAATGCATTAGATGGCTTCTATGGATTAGCAGGGCAGAAACAGGAAAGGATGGCGTAAAACAAAAACATGAAACATTTCCATTATTCTATCTACCAGGAGAGCCACCAATCTCCCCCTTTAAAAAATGGCTTTTTTAAGCAAAACCATACTTTGTGCAGGTGTGCTCTTCCACCCCAGTGCTGATGGACCACTCCAATACAAGGCCTACAGAGGTAAATAATTGCTTTCTGAAAGTACTATTGAAAAGTTTTCTCATCAATCGGGTATCAGGCTAGTAAAGTGCTTTATGCAGAGTGTACATTTTCAGCAAGTTATAGCCTCATATTATGATGCAAAAGATGTTCACAGTATATTTTCTGCTTTGATTCTAGCAACCTTTCCAAATGAATATTGTAAATAATCAGAGTGGAATATCCCAAATAATTTTCCTCAAACAAGAGGGGCAAAAAAGTTCTTTTTTAAATAAAGGAAAATCTGTCCTAATAGGAATCATAAGACAGAACAGCCAGAACAAAGATGTCTTGGGGATTATGTTTACCTCTTAACCCTTCTCAAATAACTCAGAATTAAGGCAAGAGATACATGTGTACAGATATATCCAAAAGAAGACATTAATTCCCATATAAAATGAATAGCATTGTATTAACGTTTATTTCTAATTACAAGAAACAGAATATCAGTCCCTTATTTGTACAAAAATACCTGAAAGATTACAATTAGGTTCACAAGCCAAAAAGCTATTTACAGTATGAAGCAAAGCATATTGAATAAAGGTTTTGTCTCTTAAGTTAATACCTTTTGCATTCCCTGAAACTTTAAACTTTATTCCATTTTACAGTCACTAAATCTTGCATTGTGACAATATAATTTACGATAAGCAAGTCTTGCCACTGGAAAGGTGCATTGATTGGTCAAACTGTCAGGTATTTAGTGCAGAAAAGATAAGACAAAACATCTAAACTGAGGCACGTGTTTCTTCAAGATTAATTAACAAATAAAAAGTTTTTTGTACTTTAACACCTATTGTAACATAACTTAACTAGTAACCTCATTACCAAAATGGTTTGGCATTTTCCTTCTCAACATATTCAAGATTGCTACATGAAGTATTTATTTAGAAAATAAAATCACAGGCAAAAAGATAAAAATTCAACAGGCTCCAAAACAACCCTGAGCATCCCCTTTACATTCATGTCATTTAAATACAAAAATAAGAGTCAAATGTCCTTCAGTCCTTGGTATTCTGAGCTGGCAGCCAGCTGAATCTGTTGGAAAACTAAGGTGGTATTGACTGTTTTCCAGCAGAAAGAAGACAAAGCAGTGATCTGCTTAAGTAAGATTGTTGCCACTTTGAAGGTGGTCACTTTCTCAAAACAGCTCACTTTAGCTGGGAAAAATACAAAATACTAAGTCAACCATCTACATACAAAAATCATGATTCATAGTCAAACTTTTATTCTCAATTTAAATAAGATGCAAGGCTTTTTTTATAAATATGAAACACTGCAAATACTATCCGCCTACTGGGAAAAATGCATGGTTTTCACTAAGCTATGTAAACAGAAAAACTTAAAACTACAGCATAAATGGTCTTATTGAACTGGTAATGTAGTCAATACAAGTATCTTTTTTCTCCTAATAGGGGCCAAATAGAAGCATGCAAAGTGAAGTCAGACTTAAGTTAGCTTAATTTCAAGGTTTTAAAATACATTGTCTAGAAAGCAGGAACACTCATTTCACTATGTACATTTAAAAAAAAACCAAAAAAACAAAAAAGGCTTCTACTAAAAAAAAAATTGTCTAGAAAGCAGGAACACTCATTTCACTATGTACATTTAAAAAAAAAAAACAAAAAACCAAAAAAGGCTTCTACTAAAAAAAAACAAAATCAAGTTTCTTCATTTTTAATATCTAGACACTAAATGGAAAAAATACTAAATGTGTTCTGTAAACTAAAATACAGTGTTTCTATACCATTGACATAGTTATAAGCTGATATGGACGACTCAGGCAGGTAATGGTTTGTCTTAAGCTATTCTCAACATTATGTGAAGACCTAAAGGCGTAGGATTGGTTTTCCTTCTTTACCCTTTCAGATGGCTAGGATTTCAAACCCAGTGGCAAATGGATGCACTAGCCTGTGTAAATCATTTACCATCCTAAGAATGCTCCGTGCTGCACTATGCTCTGCAAGTTCTCAGGGTAGAATACTTCTCACTGTGGCTAACTGCATGAAGTTAATTCAGTAACAGTTCCTGCACCGACTGTGTGCTTAAAGAGTGATATCTGTAATTGGAGGATGAAGGTGAGACTTGTCTGACTTTAATAACTGATTTATCATCAGAAAGAGTTATTATTGTGTAAACATTCAATAATTGATTTAAACCTTAACAATTAAATAGTTCTGATGACAAACCAGCACCAGAGCAGGATACGCAGCTGTCTGCCATAGGTACTGGCGTGCTTTAGCGTGTATGACACAGGGATCACCAGTTACCTTGATGGATGATATTGCCATCAGCTAGTTCACAATCAAATGTGTTTCCATTCCCAGTATGGTCTTTCTTGCCATGTAAGCTTTCATGGCCCTACAAAAAGCAGGTGGTGTACAGTTGTTTTGAAGTCCTATTCCCCAGGAGAACTTTGTGTCACTGTAGCTTTGCTATATGGAAAGAGCTCTTTGAAACAGTCTGAAAATTCAAGGAGCTATAAAGCTAAAAACAGTCATATTTTGTCATACTGAGACTACCCGCAGAAGAATCTTCTCACAAAAAAATGGTGGTTTCAAATACAAGTGTAATCATTCAGTCCTATTCTATTTAGTAACGGCAAGTTTCCTCAGGAAAACAGTCAAAAGGCTGTAAAAAACAAACCACCTCTCCAATAATAAAAATTTGTGCATAGAATCTAATACAGTCTTTGCATGACTGGATGCCACTAATATGCCATCAACAAACTACAGCCATAATGCTACAAGTCAACAGGTTTAAGAGTACGTATATGGTGGTATGTTCTTTTAGAATTGCTTCTTCAAAGACATCTGCAGATCATCGAACCTCAGGTCTCCAGAGAAGTTTTGAGATATGTGTGCACGCACACACACACATACTTCTTGATTTTCTTCTAGATCCTTTTAGGCTGAAGCATTCCATACATTTTAGGATGCAGATTAATACCCAACTCCTGCATGAATTTTAAAAGCCACATCAGCTCCTAATATAGGCTGCATACAATATCCGAAACAAAAGTAGGAGTGCAAAAAAAGTGATCAATACAAAAAGTAAACACACTAGTCTTAATTGTCAAGATTATTCCAGGGCAAGAGTTCTTTTCAAAGGTTTCTCTTCACACTTTTTCCTGTTAAGTGGCCCAGCCAAGATAGTTTCCAGTTTTGTTTCAAATTTACTCATGGTTTTACATAACCCTCCCCCCGTTTTTGGGATGCTGGGACACTCAGCAGCAATCACTCTTAGGTGTTAGACAAACCAGCAATCTTGGTCTGTTGGCACCTGTCGAATCCATCCCTTTCAGAGTCCCAAGGTGCATAATACTTTTATTTATTTTTACCAACTTACAAATCTGCCAATTCCCCAGTGTCAACGTTCTCTTACAATTACTCTTCTAGCAAATCCAGTCTTCAGTGAGAGTCAGATTTGAGGTCATAAGGCCACACGGATGCAGTGGTGTTTGAGTTTGCAGGGCAAGACTCCTTTGTTTAGTTGATAGAATTCAACAAGCTGGATTAGATCACTGAATTTGGTGTTCCCATCATCCAGGCTGAAAAATATCTGTCCATCATCTTCACACTGGGGAAACAAAACATCCTTTTCAAGTTAGACAGCACATGAAAGAGATGCAAGCATGGCAAAACATGAAGAGTACAAGTGTGTGATGGAAGATAAATGACGGGCACGGCCCAAACAACCTAGTTCCCAAAGATCTGCATGAAACCATGCACAGCACTAGAGAAGAATGTACATTAACCTAACTTGAAATGTTTTGTTTATAGAAGTGAAAGCTTGTGGGCAGAGTAATTGAAAATTGCAGAGACAGTACTGGTCTTCGTTACATAAAAAAAAAACCCACCAAAAACAAACCCCAAAATATTTGTTAGCTGTTTGTAAAATTGGCAGGCGAAGCAAGAGAAGAGGGTTTGGACCAATAAAGAGGTCCATGCTATCTTAAACATCTGATGCCCTTTTTGATCAAGATAAAAATCAAATAGGTTTTCGACATCTCAGTGTGACATTATTTTAAGCTCAACATTACTGGGTAATCTCCAGGATAAAATTTTTTAAAGTTTCCCTAAGTTATTCTACGTTTGCATAAGTGATACAGAGACAACTGCCACTGTGGTTGCTGTCAGCCACAGAGAACAAGTTCTGTGCATTACTTCTACACCTAAGTGACTTACACTAGTTTTCCAGGCAGTGTTAAGAATTTTAATCAGACATTTGACAATTCTAAAGAATATTTGCTAGTATACTTGCTAATGGAAACATCCCTGTTAATTACATCACTAATTAATAAGAGGTCTCTTCAGATGTTGGCAAGCTTTATGATTAAAAATTTCTTTCTTTCTTTTTTTTTTTTTTTTTTTTTTTTGTGATAAGTATAAAAAAAAAAAATCTACTTACCGGCAAGATTTGAAAATGCTTTATCTTTTGATGATGGCACAGGGTAAGTACAAATGCCTTTGGATTGCTTTGGCTGTCCCGGAGAAGAAACAGTCTAGGAGAGAACATTTTTAAGTACACACTGAATACCACAATCCTCTTCTTCATAAATAATCAGTACTACTAAGTCATTCTGTGCTATTGCCCAACTCTTCTTTAGTTGCATTAACAGGTGATTCCGTAACGGGCAATTTGATTTCAATTTTTATGCCATGGCTATGCAACACTAATAGATGAAGAAACAAGAAGTGAAAGATTTATGACAGCAGTTCTTCCTCTATGAATGTTATGTGTAAGGCTATTTTTAAGGGTCTCTCTAACTAAGCTTTCCATTACTGATATGTACTCTCATAAAGAAAATGTCCTCATTTAACTCCAAAGCAAATCTGGATTTCTGTAGCTGGGAAAATAATACATGAGAATCTCTTCCCACTCTCCAGCATCTTCCATTAGTTTACAGAAATCCAGTGTTAGCAAAATTGTGCTTAAGTTAAATGGCTGCAATTGCACAGAAACAGCTCAATACTTTCTTAAAAATGACTTATCAATTAAGTAGCATCCACATTATCAAGATGGGGAAAACTATCATGGTATTTCTCCCCCAGCATCACTGGAAAAGAATAAACTTCAGGAGTATAGCTAGCAACATCATACATGACATAACGGTCACTTTTAAGTTGACCCACAAAGTTTAAGTCCTAACTCAAATGGTTAAATACATACTTACAAAAGAAGAAAAAAAATCTATTCAAAAAATGTTTCCTCCCCTTGACATTTATGAACTATGGAAGGAGAACCTCTCCATGCCGCAAGAAACAAGAATATACCTTTGGCATAAGGCTCACAGCGCTAACCACTAGTGGCTTTGTGAGATGGCCAAGCACAGTACTGGGGCAGGCCTCAAGCCCTCTTAATTGCTAACCACTAAGCCAGGAACACACTTTTCCAAGGCTGAGTTGCAAGAACTGCTTGCAATCTTAGGAACCCAGAAGAACTTACTCCAGCTCCTCAGAACCAATTGAGAAATGTCAATACCACAAAAATGCACCATTATAACCAGGGTCAGTCCAATATTCGGAGACAGGCATGTCTTGCCACCACTGGAAACCATGCATGGTATTTGAACATTCCTTTTTAGTCCTAGCAAGACTAGATGCCAGGAAAAGGAACCAAAGACTTTACACATTAGGATCCATCTCCAGGAGAAAGATCTTACCCACCCTGTGGTGACAGCAGTTCATGCAGCTATCTCTAAATTATTTTTCATCTAGCCATTTTAGACAATGCATGGTATCATAAGCTGGTGGCACAAAGCAAAGCTCAGCACAACTGATCTTGCACGTGTCTACCCAACCTCTGGCAAGCAACAGGCTATCCACACAAACAATGACTATAAATATAGATGCATCCTCAACAATAGCTTCCAGAAACAGCCAAATAAGAGCAGTGTCAGCTGTATATACACATTGCTGAACACCTTACATGAGCCAACAGAAGACTCTTAACTTTCTACCTTCTTTTGTTCAAGAACACAGAGCACAAAAACACAGGCAAGACTTTTATATCCTGAAAACCATGATCCCTAGATTTCAGAGCACATAGGGTTACATGGGTCTTTTGCCACTACTGAATGACCTCACTACAGACAAAGTAACCAATTTTCACCTTTCACAGTAAGTCAGCTGGCTAGGCACAAATTGAACACTGCCTCAAAGGCATTAACACATTTATAAAAAGCCCAAGAAAGATGGGCCACTGGATTCTTAAGGCAACAAGAAAGCCAACCGTATCCTGGGCTGCATCAAAAGCAGCGTGACCAACAGGTCGAAGGCGAGTCTCCCCCTCTACTCTGCTCTCGTTAGACCCCACCTGGAGTACTGCATCCAGCTCTGGAGTTCACAGCACAGGAAAGACACGGACCTGTTGGAGTGGGTCCAGAGGAGGGCCATGAAGATGGTCAGAGGGCTGGAGCACCTCCCCTATGAGAACAGGCTGAGAGAGGTGGGGTTGTTCAGACTAGAGAAGAGAAGGCTCTGGGGACACCTTATAGGAGCCTTACAGTATCTAAAGGGGGCCTACAGGAGAGGTGGGGAGGCACTCTTTATCAGGGAGTGTATTGACAGGACGAGGGGTAACGGTTTTAAGCTGAAAGAGGGCAAATTTAGATTAGATATTAGGAAGAAATTTTCTTCTGTGAGGGTGGCGTGGCACTGGAACAGGTTGCCCAGAGAAGGTGTGGATACCCCATCCCTGGAGGTGTTCAAGGCCAGGCTGGATTAGGCTTTGAGCAACCTGGTCTAGTGGGAGGTGTCCCTGCCCATGGCAGGGGGGGTGGAACTATATGATCTCAAAGGTCCCTTCCAATCCAAACCATTTTATGATTCTATGAAGTCAAAATGAGCCCAGGATTGTAAAGAAGATTTGTAGTGTGAGAGAACCAGAAGCCCAAGAGGTCAGCAGTGCTCCTTTTCTTTCTCAGACTCTCTTCTCTGTTTGACCTGCTAAGCTAAAACCCAACAGTCTCAGCCCAGCAAAATATCCAAAACAATAAAAAAACCTACTACTTGATGAATATGTACATGCACTAGCAATTTCTATTTCTCTAACATATTTCATTCTTCACAAAGATGAGTGATGCTCCTGAATCAGAAAATGCCAAAGAAAGGTTTGAACTTGACTGTCTCATGAGAAGCCAACACAGAAGTTTTTAACATAACCTTGACAGCTGTGAGATAGTGAACTGAAGGAAGCCATGCTCTTCCCATCCTACAAATAAAGAACCACTGAATGCAGTTTCAACAACTTCCCTACAATAACCATAACTACATATAAATAAGGTAAACAGAGATGCTCAGAAGATACTTAAATGTCAACTACAGGCATTTAGAGAGCACCAGAACAGGTACTTTGATTTCTTTGCTCTAGAAGAGAAATAAATAGTGATAAATCACCATTAGCTGCTCTGATTCATGCAAAAGAGCACAAATGCCTGATAATAAATTTGTGGGCAAATGGCTAGGTACAGCTTTGCTTGAAAAATGTCCTCAATGCAGATTACAGGAATTAATTACTTTCAAATTCTAACATTCTCTAAAACTTGATTGCCTCTATTGGAAAAAAAAAAGTTTAAGTGTATTCTTCGTATTTTGTTTTTCAAATTAAGAATTAGAACCCACTCCTACAAACACATACTCTGGCTTTTTGAAATCCAGGCAGGCTATAATGGAACTACTCAAAAATCAGGTTACTCAGAAGTGCTCACAAACCCGTAAACCATTACAGCAGAATATTCTCTTAACACTTACCATCAAATCATAAATACCAAGCAACAGGAATACCTACCCATCTACAAGCCCTTGTTGCTTAATAATCCTGTGAGATTCTTCTCTAGAGATTCTGCCATGAAACCAGTGCTGTGTCCTATGAATAACTGGGGCGAGAGGAAAAA